TCGCCCAGCTAGTTTTCATTAACAGCAGTTGACAGTGTCTCATGACAGCCAGCACTGCTGTGCACTCCAGCTCCAGGAAGAGAAAAAAATTACAGAATCCATATGAGTTAGTGGGTCATTACTGTGCAGGCTTCCATCAGTGTGAATGAAGAGCACAGCTCCTCATGGCAGGGCATGAGAAGATTCTCCTCGCTCCTGGTTCCCATCTCTGCCTTTTTGTTTCTGTTTTTAATTTTTTGCTATCTCATTTTTTTAACATAGTAAAATAGCATCATTATTAGCTATTTAAATAGTTTTCTATTAGGATGCATTTATGAGCCTCAGTCCACATGAATTAATGTAGGTGCCACATGAAGTTACAACATGGTATAAATATCCTATCTCTGTAACACAGGAGTTCAGACTTTGAGGGTTACATTTCTTCTCTTAGTGGGAAAGCACAGCTCTGCATCTTGCTTCATCAGAGGATAAAGTGGTGAGTAGTATTCTGGTATTGTTAAAATGACTCCTACACCTTATCCTCTTCTGAGTTTCCATCTTACAGATGAAATATACCTTACAAAAAACCAACAAACCACATTAAAAATGTCGATGTGAGAGACAAAGTAAGAAAAAATAGGATCACTGTCCCCATTTGAAACACAAGAATGCTTTACTCAATGCAACCCAGAAAGTCAGCAAATGAACTGGGAATTGAACTCTGAACCCTGACATTCAATACTATCCTTTCATACTTAAAGCCATCCTGTTTCTATTGCAGTGAGGCTAGAATGTAGTTTTAAGATATCTACTGTATTAAAGGTATAATTAAGAAGGTGGAATTTTGTCTGAACTGGGAATAAATTTTTTGTAAGCATATACACCTTCAGTGCTTTGACATTCTTTCTCTTACTAATACCTAAGTGTGAAAAGGAAAATTAGTCCGATTCAGAGTCCTGTTGAGCCAGAGGTTAATAATTTGCTTTTGAGCACTTAAAACCCTTACAGTTATTGCAAGCAATTTAATGGGACTATATCCTTGCTAGTTTATCAAGAGTAATTGGTAGCAGGCAGCTGATTATCCTGAAAACTTGTTGGAAATAGGTACTGAGGGCAAGGCAAGAGTGAGTGGTGTTAAGAGCTTTGGAAGATGTGAGAGTTGTCATTTCTAATCTGGTTTTAGATTCTGTGAAGAATTATAGTCAACTCTCTTGCTGTTGGTATCCTCAGGAGAAATTTGCAATTGTGCAGCTGATGTCTTTTTAATCTAGATAGTACCAGCTGGTGAGGGTGACAGTTATCCTTCTGGGGCTAGCAGGAGAAGAAAGGAAGCTGTGCATTAGAGCAACATCTAGCTAACGACTAATGCATCACATAGCTGTACTCTAGAGAAAAAAAACCCCACAACAAAACCAAAACATATTTTGCGACAGGAAAAAAGGCACGGGGGGGAAGCAAGAAATACTTAATTGGGGAATTAAATTTGTGTATTTTACCTATATCTAGAAACCAAAGACAGCGTAGCAGAAGGCCTTAAATACCAGCATTCAGTGTTGGAAAATCTGAGTGACACATATGACTTATTCAGGTGACTTCCCTACTAGCTTGCTAGCAGCACAGTCTTATCCCCAGTGTTTTCTTAGATCTTGCTCTGTTCTGAGGATTCATAGCAACTGGAGGCTGGGCTACCTAATAGCTTGTCCTGAAGTCATGTGTCATAAGATCTGTCTTGAAAATGCAACAGGAGACAAATTGCTCTTATCAATGAAAATGCTGAACAGTTTTTGTGCTCATCCACTGCATGAGATACCAGGCCACAGTGCCTCCTCGTAAGTCTGGTTTCAGAGTTTATTCATCTCTCTGGAAATCAGAACCACAATTTAGAATGAGAATAAAAGTTTCGGGGATTTTTTCTTTCTTTTTTTTTCTCTTTCATATTTTGCAGATTTATACAGCATCTCTTTCATTTGCTGTGTGAGTCTGCTGTTGACAGGGGTCACAGAAGACCATTTCTCATTCTTCTTCTTTATAAACCCTCTGTTCTAGTGAATATTTACCCAAACCAAGATGTTCTTCTAAATTGTGAACACTGCTGTGAAGTAACAGTGATTGGTCCTAAAGCTATTCATCAGAGCTCAGCTACCTCACCTTAGCTGCCATTATTCCCTATGCTTGGTACTTTGCTTGATATCACTAAACAGATATCAGAGGTACAGAGAACACACTCTCAAATATTTCTGTACAATTTACCTATCTTGAGTAGCATACAGCAAACAAGTAGACTTCCAAGAACATGGGGATTCAGCATGGCCTTTCAGATATATGTTAAGCCTTTATAAAGCCAGAACAGGATAAAAACAAATATATTAGATTCCACTTCAGCAGGTATTCAATTGCTTCCAAACTATTGCAGTTGCACTGATCTATATAAGAAATTCACTGTAGATGACCTGCTGACATCTTCATCCTCATGCTGAGGAAGGCTTTGATTTCAGGGTAATGATTTATCTTGGCTTTATTTTTACAAGACTACAGCAAATGAGATGCATTGTGAAGAAAGCATTTTCAGACAGTGTGTATGTTATTTTCATAACAGCAAAACATCCCAGCCTGAGTAAATACTTTATCATGTCAGTCTTTCATGATCTCCAACTTTCTAAACTGAACTTATTCGACTCCTCTTTTTCTCCTTCTGTTAAAAATGTACATGTTTTTCTGTATTGCTGTGTTTGAAACAGCATTCCTTTTGCCACAGAATAAAATACCTTTAGCAATTAATGGTGGATAGAAGTGTATCACTATATTACTATGTGCTTATTCAAACTTCTGTCACAAAAACATGGATTGGGGTTATTGACCTTTTCCTTTGTTTTTATATATTTGAAATTTTCATGTATCTACCAGGACCATTTAAAAATGTAATCTCACAAGTTATTTCAATATAAAATCAGGGGTTTTTAGCAAAATAGGAAAATATTTATTTTTCCTGAAAAGCTGACACAAGAAGGAAAGTTTGATACAAGTGCCTAATGTTGGAGTATTAGCTGAGAGTTATGTGACAACTCCCATAAACCGAAAAAAAAAAAAAAAGAGAAGAAAATAAAAGAAAGCAGATGGAATGGCTGTGGCTAATTCCATCTTGAAACCCCTAATTTACCAAGGCAAATGGAACTTGACATGGTGCAGAACCATTTATTCTCTCTTCTTTATTTCCTTTCTGAAGTCTAACTAAATTTTTATTATTATTATATTGAGTTCTATATTATTCCCTCTGGTAAGGTTTCCACTTGAAGCAGAAAAACAATATCTTATCAGAAAGGTGGGGGTACTTGCAATTATCTTTGACTAATTATCCTGTAAGCAGCTCTGTCATCCTTCAGGAAGACAATACACAGACTGTTTCATATGGAGGTATTTTAATGACTGGGCTTTTGAGAGAATAAGACTGTATTTTTCATTCTTAGACTGCAGTACAGTATCTTGGTTCTGAAATGTCAAATGAATGCTAATTGCACTTTGTTTAAAAACAAAAGCAAAACAAAACCCAGCAAACCCCTTAACACAAACGAGACAGAGATAGAGCCACATGATCAAAACGTGGCCTTTATTTTCCTTCTGTGGAACATGAAATTGTCTTGACATGTTTCTCTTTATGGAGTGCAGCCTGCAAAGATGTTATTGGACCAGTTTGAAATTATTTGTTTCATAACCAATTTTGTCAGTCTGCCCTTAATTGAGTGTAATTTTATATAGGAAAAAAATGCAGGCAAAACTTGTAGACCTCTAAGTACAGCAAAATGTACAGCAATACAGAAAATCTCTAATCTTGATTAGTGTCAAAGAAATCTTTTCCTATATAAATCTACTCAATGGTTGTTTGGTTTTTGTTTGTTTGGGTTTTTTTTGGGGGGATGTTTTCTTGGGGTTTTTTTTATGAAAGGAGGGGAAAATGGAAAAAACCAAATCACAAGACTGAGCACAGTTCTTCTACTCAGCTTTCAAAACTGTCAACTCTGCAGATTCTACCTCACTTTAATAGTCTGTAAATATACATTCCTATAAAATCAGTCGCTTCTAGATGACTTTATTTTAGGGGTTTGGCACGCAGAAGAAAGAAGTTTCTGTCAGTCATGAGCATGGAGGCCACTTGTTATATCCTCTCATTGCCACAGCTAGCTGTGAGGGGATCTGAGTTCACTCAGAAATATGCAGGACCCCAGTTTTGATGCTGTGGGTTTAACTGAGTTTTGGAAAAGTTATTTGTCTTCCAGGTCAGGCATTTGCTCTGTCTCAGGCACAACAGGCTTCAGCCACTGAGGCCTCTGTCTAATGCCCTCTCTCTTCTCTTAGAGTGAGAACGTTCCCAGTGCTGCATTGCTGGGGCAGAAAAACTGAAGCTTTCCATGAAGGTAGCATAGATAGCTTCACTTAAGGTTTTCCCTGAGTATAACTTAAACACCTCTAAACCTCTCATCTGCTACAAATCTGTCCAGTATTCCTACCAGCCTCACAGTTCAAAGTTCTCCATCTTTTAAAACATAGTTCGTAAGCTTGGATTAAAATGTTACAACTCGAAACCAAATCACTCCTCTGCAAAAGGCAAAAGAGCTATAATTGAACATCCCTGTTCCCTGGTGGTATATACTCTTGTTTCATCTGGATAATATGGAAAATATTTTCTTTCCATTATAAAATTCTATTTTATGGTGGACATGCTATTGCCTTACTGATCAGGATAAGTAAAACAAGATGAAATTGTTAAAAGAGCATTAATAACAGCAATGGATGCTGCAAAAATGAAAAATGCAAAAAAACACATATCTGTAAAAGCAGTTTAACATCTGAGAATTGAACCAATCAATGATTTCCATCTTTTAGCACAGTGTACTTTACACAAAGATATGCAAAATGCTTTGTAGTAAAATGTAGCCTAGGGAGACACTGAAAGCCTTTTAGAGAGATCTATAATAGCAAGTCATACACAGAAAAGTGAACATTACCATATGGCAACATAAAAGAAACTGAATTCAGAAGACATTACCAGTACAAATAGGTATATACTTTAGGGATGAATGGAACTGCATAATTAATTTCTAAGACATATATATAACAACCACACTGATAACACAATTTTCAGGTTGCATCTATGGCATTATGAACTTATTTTCTCTAGACCATTTTCAAATTGTCTGTAGCCTTGGGTTCATAGGAAGTGGTAGATGGATTACAGTCACACAGAAACCATGTCCCTTCACTGGGGTAAATGCTTAGAGTATGGAGAACTGTTTGGGGAAAATATCACTATGTTTTTAACAGTTCTGATATACTTCCTGTGGCATTTGCACTGGTCACTCTTGGGTTTGGACTTCTGTCCTATCTGCTGAGTGAGTTGGTCTTTTATTCTGTTCATACACCCCTAGGTACTTCATAGATAAAGTGATCTGACACACATTATAAATTGCAGGACTAATACCTTAAATATTTGTCAGTATGTCTTTCAGTGTCCAGTATGTATCAGTGTCCAGACAGGGTATGCCCTGTCTGGACACTGATACATCCTATCACCAATATCTCAAGCCTTTTAATACACACTTTTTATTTAATAGAAGTTGAACTTTAGTTTTGCGTTTCAGCATAACAATTTCAATATATATGAAGATTTATAAAATAAATTCTACTTGCTTCACTTGTCTGCTTTAAAAATTCAATTATAACTAAGTAATTTTTCCAGAAGATTCAGAAGCAGTAATTATTTGAGGGCCTTGTGTTGGCACAAATTAAAATACTTTTACAACACCTCATCATTATTTCTTACTAAATATACTTTCTACATGATTTTTATTATTTCTGAATTTTCTATCCAGGCATACATATAACTCATTGGCATTACAGGAGTCCCATATGCAGGGCACGTATACAGATAATATCTCTGTAATTCTATTGGGTTTTTATGATAAGTTTTCAGATTTTCTGGGTAATAATGAAATAGTCAAGAATTCTCACAGAGCAGCAAACAGTGCAGCAAGTATTACTACTAGAGTTTCTCATTTAATGAGTTTGTTACAGCATAACTTGCAAGGCCAGTAGACTGCCATGTAACCAATGATAGTATTTATATCACAGATATAGTAGTTCTTAAAATGATTGTGAAATATTTTCTCTCTATAATAAGGGAACTGACCCACCTTTTTTCAGGGAAGGTTCCACTTCACCTAAACCAAGAGAAAAAAAAGTGTCAGAAAAAAGATATAATTTTAAAAATCCCACATTTTTTTCTCATGTTGACTCATTTTAATTTCAAAAAGTAACCTTTCTTCTTTATATGCTAAATGACAGGCATCTATTCTGAGATTTTGGATTTTTCATAAAGAATCTCTTACCATAAGGTTTATGGCAGATAACTTCAAGCTGTTGTAGTAACCAAGGAAACATTCAAATCTGTGTTTGTACTTCTGAATATTAACTTGTGACTGCAATTTACAATTTGCTTGATTTTATGCATGTCTCCATGCTTTAAGGAAAGGTCCAGTGGTTCTTTTTTAGTTACAAATGATAAAATGTATAGACAGGTTAGCAAGATCGTAAATCTAACATTGCTTCCAGTGAAATCTAAGGCAAAAAAATAATTTCAGTGGAACTATGAGCACTTGATGGCTGTAGTATGTTATGCCACCTCCATGTAGGACATGGAATTCAAAGTAGTGAGTCTGAATGACTGTGGCTAGTGTGCAGCCTCAGCTGCAGTGACTGCAGTGCCGAGAGGACAAGGTGTGCGTATGCACTTCGTTTTTATGATACAGTGCAGTAAGTTGCCTACTGCCTTTTCACACTCCTGGTTGATACTGAAGAAATTCTACTTGGGCCAACGGCTGTTAAGACTGAGCTTTCCAGACACCTGGTGATGATTCAGATCTTGAATTTTTGTATGTCAGGTATTTTATGACCTTCCCTTCTGCCATTAACACTTCTACATTTGAGTCTTTGAAAGTTTGCACACGCTTTGGGAGTTATGAAGTGATAAAATTGTACACTCATCAAATTTTACCAAGCTCTCCATATTTCATCTTTTCTGTTTTGCAACCATATGAGAGACTGGCTTTCTGCTAGTTGTAAATCATATCTCAGAATAGGATGCCCAGTTCACAGACTGACATGTAGCAGCTTATCTATTAGCATTCATATATGGTGCTAACATAAAAAGCTCATGCACACATTTGAAAGGCAGATATTTGATAATATCTAAAGTTTATGAACAAGAAGATAGAAGACAATTTCAGTACATGTTGCATTTTAATTATATTCTGTTATAGTCAAGCAGAATATAAAATAAACTACCATGAAATGAAGATGTCACTCCTACACTCACCACTTGTCAAAATGACCAATATGATGTGACAGGATAATCCACTACTGCTCTGTTTATACTGGGAAACTAGATTTTGAGGTTTGTTTGGTGGGGTTTTCTGCTCTGTTGTTGATTTTGTCTTTTATTATTAGCAGAAGGGTAGTTATTTTCAAACTCAAAATGTTAGCAATTTACTTTCATTTATCAGATGATATCAGAAAAATGGAAGAAAAATAATTCCTAATAAACTGAATAATTTGGACTATGTCATCCAAAATTCCCTTAGTTCAGCTGAAATGCTGTTGGATTTTTTTCAATATATTTTCCTGTCATCAATATATCAAATAAAAGAAGTTCTGAGTTTTTTGATTTCTTTTGTATATTTACTGGGGTCCTTTAGATTACTGCTGATTAAAACAAAATAGCCATTGCCATTGTCTGAAGCAATATCCTGATGCAAACCTTGGATGTGGTTTTGAAGTCTTGTATAAATTCATGCTCTTTACTTCAAGATGTACTAATGGTAATATCTAATTCTGACAGCTTTTCCGTAATGGTACATTAAACATGAGATGAAAGCTTACAAAGAGGCAAATTTACTGATTGGAATAACCAGTAGATGCTTTATTAGCAACAAAGTTCACATTTTGTTTTCTTTGACCTTCTTGTCTGGGAGGTTAAAAGCTGAGTAAGCCAACATAATGCATGTAAAACAGCAGTTAGAGCAGTTACAGAAGTCTTTACATTTCAAATACCTTCATCACTGTCATCATCATCACTCCATACGAAGTCAGACAGTAAAGAAAAAAAGCCATAAATCCATTCAGAGGATTCTTCGAATGTCTCATGAATGATTCTCAGTGGTTCTGTGCTGAGCTTGTTAACAGATCTTCCTGAGTGCAGAGTTTAAAATAAAAGTGGTTTGAAAAAAACCCAAATAACTTCTTCAGTGATAAAACTTACTCTACATTTTATACAGGACTAATTATACTACCTCTTTTAACAGAAACAAAACCTGTGAATGTTAATTTGTATTATTCAAGGATTTGAGGACAGCTCTCCTCACTGCGCAAGACGGGCATAAAGTGTATCCTACTGCACTTGGTGTTCTCAGTGTGATTAAGGACCCAAGGTACAATTTGGTCTCATACTGTGCTCCATGTTTTGAGTCGTCTGAAGCTTTGTTGGGCAAGATAAAAAATATAGACTTGATTCTACCTAAAATTCATTGGTTTAGACAATTTCTTCCTTTCAGCCCATTTCTTTTGCTTTGACTTGGCTCTCCTACCTCTTGATGCCTGTTAAGGATTCAGTGCCATCAGTGTCCCACTCCTCATGTCATATCTCCCTCTGAGCACCCTCCACACAAATCCTGGCTGAGGAAATTGCTGAGCCCTGGTTTAACCACACTGACAGACTGTGTCATTGACATCGAGCACATGCAAAGGATGGGACGAAGAAAGTTGTGTATACTCAGCCCAAAATAAACCTGAGTCCAGGACGAAGGGGGATGCAAATCCTAGTAGTGACATGCAGACAGCTACTTTCAAACACATACTCCTGTGTATCTGGTTCTTGTCTTACAACTTTTTCTAGAGTTTCTTTCACATACACTTAGGCACATCTTCATGCTTAACTTGTTCGGGCCTTACTGCTCATCTAGGCGAGTAAACTATAAGACAAGGAAGCTGTGTAGTTTAATGTGCTCCAACTTCCTGGGACTTCTGATGCAAGTGAGACCCCTGGTCCCCACTGTATCCACACCCAGGGGATGCAACCATCAGTGGGGTAATATCAGTATTCCCTTAAAGGCTTTTCCAATTGTGATTTCACCAGATTTCTCCCTACCTGACACAGCATCAAGCCTTTGACACAGTGTTCCTTCTGGCCATTCTGTGCAGTAAACTTCTATATTCTTGAACTCTGTACCAAACACTGCTTAGGAAGAGGGACAACTCTCATTCAGTCTATGTGACTGTCCAACTGTATTTGAAATGGCAGACTGAAGTGCTGCCTGGTATGTGTGAAGATTTCTTACAAATGTAGAGAATTGAAAGTAGACCACGAATACGATTTGACCTGTTGGTCTGGTTTGTTCCTAGGAATTTCCATAGAAATATAGACACTGAATTTAACAATATCAAGATGGGAACCATATTTCTGTTTAATACTGTCTTTCTGTAGGTAAATGTTTTAGCAGGAAGCTAAACACAGGTTTCTTCAGAGCTACTTCTGATTGCAGCGTTCTGACTCACATGCCAAGTCTCACATGGACTTGCAGGTTACAAAGGCAGGCAAGGTGCAGGCTTGAAGCAACTTCTTCGATGGCAGCAGTCTGAACACTTATTTTCTTAAAGTGCTCTAATGAAATTTACAGGCAACATTATTTGATATATAAAAGTATCTCTAAATAGTTCCTTTTATTCCTAATTAATTAAGCTGAAACAGAAAAGACCTGACTGATTTTCTACTCATTATTAATAATGTAGACCAAAGAAATATTGTACTCAATTTTTAAAAAATATTGCATTAGATATATGCTACTGAACAATCACTCACATCAAATAAATTAAAGGTGTGACATGATGAAATTACACAATCCAAAGAAATAGGCATGATCTCATAATTTAGTGTACTATTTTGTGCACTATTTTATTCAGAAAGAGTAGTATAATAGTGAATAATTATTTTGTTTAGTAAAAGGTGCTTATTTATTTACAATGGTTTCATGCATTGAGATGTAGAGATTTAATTTTTTTAACTGATTTGCCACAAGTATTCTTCTCAAGCATTAACCTCGAGGATGAATACCTATACTTAGGCTCTTAAAAAAGCAAATCTGTGACCCAAACCCTGATGTCAATTGCACTTTGTCCTAATCTAGAGGTTCTGAGGAATCCAAGTGAACTAATAAAATGGACATGGCCAGAGAGGTCTTAGTATAACCATGGTTTTGATTCGCAAGCAGGTTTAACTTTGGACAGATGCCTTGATTTCTACTCTGGTTATCCACATACCTTTTACCCACTAGTTGCTTAGGGAGGGCTCAGTTGCTTTTATAGCCACAGGCATTTACAGCCTCATGGAATACAGGTGGAAACTAAACAAGAACTGGTATAAATTTATTTTAATATACTGGTCTATCAATTAGCAGTTCAAGAACTCCTTCACAGGTAGCAGAGCTGTCCCTCCTGGGCAGGCAAGGGAAATGCTCAGACAAGAGCAAGATCAAGAGCAGAGGAAATTAATCCAACCACCCCAAGGCAAACCATCTTTGCTGATGAATCAGAGTCCTCAACGTCATATCCTGGTCTTTAATTCATAACATCTCCATAGCACACTATGAAAAGGGATTAGAAATTAGAAGTGTCCAGAGGTGAAATTCTCCAGTCATGCCTGTACTAACAGGCCTGAGTTGCAAATCCTGTTTAACATAGAAAGTTTAGAAAAGTCAGTTTGGAACTGTGCAGAGGACACTTTAATGGTATTTGCAAAAAGAAATTTTGTATTCAAACAGATGCTGTGAGCTCACTTGAGGTCTGGTGCAAGTGACAAGCCTGGACAATTGTCTTCTTGTGCACAGACCTTCTGTTTACCTTCTGTTGTATTTCCAGTTTTTTTTAAATGTAGTTCTAAGAGTAACAACATGTCCTAAAATTCTTAAGAACACTATACCAGGTAATGTTGAAGTGAAAATTGCAGCTGATTAAATCCATGCTTTCAGCTTTTTCCACAATTTTGACAATAGAAGGTGCTACTAGTTCCTTGGCAGAAGAAAAAACCCCTAGAAACAAATGAAATAAAACAATTCTCATGGTAACAAGTATTGAGAAAGATGCCATCTACCTCACACACATGAAAAGAAAGGCAACCATTTCCAGAGGATTTGCATACCCTTGGTTCAAGAATGAAGCTGAAAGGGAGCAGATTTTCATAACAAAATTTGAGCTTGATATTTTGATACAGTGTAAATTTTTTTTTTTTTGTATTTACAGATGTCCAATGGAACAGTATGAATAGAATGTAGCCTTGTATTCAACACATTCAGGCTGAATTAGCTGTCTTCTGTCTGACTTTTATTTTCTTACCAAACCTTAGAACACTAATTAGTTTAACAATAAGATCACAACACCTAACTTTTGTTAGCATATGCGATATAGTGTGTAATATATAATTTGTAACTAATTTAAGGCTATGAACTATAATTAATATATGATATATCGTATATAATCTATTGCACTGTGAGTAGAAGGGGCGGGATCTTGAATTTAAACTGTAAAGAGTTTTCATGAATACAGAATATTTCTCAGATAGATACACACTGTGAAGTTCTTTTCCTGAACTTTTAACTAAAGACTGAGCCAATTATTTATCTTAGATAATGTAGTAAAAAATTACTAAATGCCTGTTGAAGGAGGAAGGAGGAGAAAGGAAGTAAATGGTTTCTCAGGAGGCTAAGCTCAGGGATGAAGCATGCAATTAATATTGAAGAATTTTGTTGGCAGTATGTAATTTCAATTAATCACAGTTTAAATTCAGATTATCTTATCTACCCAAATGTACCTGAAAGGGTATTGAATCCCTGTTGGTTTCTAGACTCCCTCAAAAGCCAGTAGAGAAAGACATATTGTGACCTTCAGAAGGCAAGTCTCTCGCTTTTCTCTGAAACCTTTTTCAGGTTATATGAACTAATTTCCAAAGATATCCATTCCTTTCCCTTGACTGGAAAGGTAAGGAAGTCTGAAAACTTAGCATGGACATGACACCTTATTTTCATATGACTGAGGTAGTGAGGCTGTTTCATATTTAAATCCTTCTTCTCATTGTACACTTTGGTTAAGCACTTAGATTTGTAACTTTAAATTCATAATTAATTCCAGGTCAGCTATGACTATTCAGCTTGATGAATTGCTTACATTGCACAACAGCACTGGTACCACCAAAAATGCTTTGCTAGAACATTTTGCTTTGTCATGGTCTTTGTTACTTGGTACAGTATGAGTGATGTTCTTCAGATCAGTAAAAGTTCATCTGTACTTGTGCTATCAGCTTCACTGCATGCTCAGTGAGAACAATTAACAGTTTTGCCTTTTTGTTTTCAGTGGCAACATAAATATTTAAAATCCAAAACTTTTTGGAAAATGCTGAAATTTCGAAGTAAAAGCTGGCAGAGAAATTTAATAACTTTGTATGCTACCTTTCAACAAAACCTTCTTGTAGGAAAATTCAACTGAATTTGATTGGAGAATGTTTGTTACCTATAATAGATATCTGCATAACAATTGTGAAGCTTGTTTGGATTTTCTTTACTAAACATATGCAAATTTATTAGTATAATTATTTAAGTGATAATTTCAGATGTGTTGTAGGTATTAAATACTTCTGAAAACTCTCTAAGTAATGTGAAGTTGTCACATCAAATTAAACTGCTACAATTCTTTGTAGGTCTCTGGCTTTACTGGTACAGAAAGAGTAATTTGATTAAATATGTGGGAACAAGAATTCTGACCTACTAATTTCTTAATTTTTGAAGTCTCCTTGGCTCAGAGTTCCAACTGATTTGAAAATTTAATTTATAAATTTAGGTCCTTTAACACTGACTTTTGGAAACAAGAACTGAGTAATCATGTGGTATGATTTGCTATAGCTCCTCAAGCAAATTTGGTTATATTCATGGTCTGTGACATTTATTCCTGTGAAATGCACAACAGAAATGACTAATTGAGTTATCTGTGCAAATCACTTCAGTCATTATTCCAGTCTTAATAACTCTGCCCAAAATGTAGTCTCCTATCAATCTTTTTTGCTTGTCAAATAGTTAAATGCATATTCAGAGTTCAACCTATGATAAACTGTACTTTTGTTTTTAATGAATTGCAGCAAATTAGTTAAT